CGTCTGAAAATAGGATAACGCTAAAAAAAAAAAAGACAGAATAAAGGAAAGAATGGAAATGAAAGAAAAATTAAATAAAATAAGTGCAAAAAGAAAGAAAGGAACGAAAGAGAAACCAAAAAGACAACAGTGAAGAAGAAATGGAGAAAGATAAAATTAAAAAAGGGCATCTAAAACAGTCAATTAACAGATTAATGAAGAAAAGAAAGGAAAGTATAGAAAAAGAAAGAAAAAACACCAAAAAACGAACAAAAAGAAAAAGCAAATTAGAAAGAAAAAAAAGTAAACATCTTTCTAAATTCCTTTATCTACCCACAAAGACTATTTTTTCATTAGCGGATATCCGATTGGATTCTGTAAACTTTTCAACTTAACTACATGACTTTTTAAAAAATCCCCTTTTATTTGGCTCACAAAGAGACACACACACACACACACACATATATATATATATATATATCACGCTACTTATTATTGAAATTCTTTGATTTTTAACGAATAGTCTATATTATGCAGTTATTTAATAAGCAATGCTCACATTTAACATGTGGCCACAAGCGTAGATTGAACTCACTTCTAAAAATAGTGATTTTCCAAGCGTAGCTTAGATGTGGCACAAGGCCGAAAGTATGGGGCACCCAGTGAGGGTCGAACTCACTACTCAGTCGTAATTGTTCTAGCGAGACAACCATTACACCACCCCGAGGTGCCCAACTTACTTCTAAAGATATGTGAGCATAACACGCTAACCATTGCACTTCCATAAGGTGGCTTCAGAATAGATATTACCTTAATAATGATTGCATTAATAAGAATATTAATATTATTAAAATAATATTAATATAATTTTTTTAAAAATTTCAATCATTAAAACAATCTCTTAATTAACTGCGTTTATTGGCAGTGAAGGAAAGAATCAAGGGGGATAACTCATCACGTTAAACCTTTGATGAGCCAAAAACAAAAATTGTTTATTTAAATTTTAGCGGGAAAAATAACATATTGTTTTTCATTACCGATTGAGAAAAAATTCATCTCTTGTTAAAATTACTGAACATTTTTAAAACACTTGCTTTCATAACATTTATCACTGACGTAAGAACACAATTCTGAACATTTTGCAAGCATTAGGTTCAAGCAAAAGAAATCTGATTGAAAATGTTATTCATAAAAAAAACAAAAAAAAAGGAACAAATATACAAAAACAGACGAGTAGAAAAACGAATGATTAAAAAAAATGATCGATAGAATAAACGAAAGATACAAAAAAAGAACAAACGAATAATAGAAATGTCGATTGGACGAACAGGCGAAAAGAGGAAAGAGCGAATAAAGGGATGAACGAATAGGGGAATAGATTAATGAACACCTGAAAGAATTGTGCTTGTAGGGTCGATTCGTTAGTGAAGGAAAAATTATAACAAGCAAAAATGAAGGAAACAATAAAAGAAAGAAAACTATAAGTCATAAGGGGGTGGAAAAGAGAAAAAAAGTTTTTAAAATCGTTGTTTCTAGGAAGAAATAAAGTAAGAATGAAAGAAATAAATAAATAAAGAAAGAATAAAGGAAAGAAAATACAATACTGAAGAAAAGAAACAAAAAAAAGGAAAATATTTACGTTTGGTCAAAAACTATAAAGTGATTTTCTCCTAGAATAACAAATTTATTTTTTCAAATTTGATGTTATCATTGAAATTAAAAAAAAAATAGTTTGAGGAGAAAAGGCTCAACTATTTTTTTTTTTAATATTGAATAAAACAAAGTGAGACAAATATTAAATTCTGCATGTAGTATTAGCAAGACTTAATAATTTACCAAACGACCAAGTCACAATAAGCCTGAAATTACCTCCCAGGTTCAGTAAAGATAGAATCGGTTTATTTGAATTAATTTTTCTGCTCCTTTCACTCCAATTTTAAATAACTTGAAGCATCGTCAGTAAAACCAACGACTGCACGCACAAATCATCCTTTACGCGATTTAGAAATATACGCAAAAAACAGACACATGCGCGTGCTCTCTCTTTCTCTCTCTCACACACACACACACACATATATATATATATATATATATATGGGGAGAGAGAGAGAAGCAGGTCAATGTAAGTTTGTATTTGCATCTGTGTGAATATTCGTAGTGTGTCTGTAAATTTGCACAGGCGGACACATTATTAAAATAATTTACATCAATTTTTTCGCTTCGTATTTATTATTGACAAAATTTCGTTTAAATAGGCTTCCTGTTTTCGTGATACAGTGTGACCCGGATATAAGAGAGTTGTCAGGACCGGAGAAGAAGTCTCTTATATCCGGGTTTCTCTTATATACGGGTTTCTCTTATATCCGGGTTTGGTCTATTTTATATACATTAACACAGGCTCTAATTTGGGACCAGAGAATATCTCTCTTATATCCGGGTTTCTCTTATATCCGGGTCTCTTATATACGGGTTACACTGTATATATTTATGCAAAGCATTAATATATTAATAGTTTGAATGTCGAATACTTTAATGCAAGATATAACTCTATGGATATATAGATAAATTCACACACACATTATAAGTTCCTTGCATATATATATATATATATATATATATATATGCGTATGTGTGTTCAAGTCTTTGGGTTATATACATGCATACATACATTTTTAAAATTCTGAAAAACTAACGTCATTTTTACTTTTGCTTATTAAAACTTGGCGCCAAATAAAATCTTCACATTTATCTCGATAAAGTCCCTCGGTGAAAATAAAAAACGCGTCGGCTAAGATAGGTTTTCCTTTTTCTTTCTTCATATTGTTCTTTTACACATATATTCTCTCTGATTTTTAGATATATACAGATAAACTGAGATAGGTAGCTAGCTAAATAGCTAAGATAGATAGATAGATAGATAGATAGATAGATAGATAGATAGATAGATAGATATGGACAGGATGAAATGGATAATGAACAGACTGAGATAGGTAGATTGGTAAATAGATAGATAAGGAACAGAGTGAGATAGATAGACAGATAGATAGATAGACAGACAGATAGATAGATAGATAGATAGATAGATAGATAGATAGATAGAGAGAGAGAGAGAGAGGGAGAGAGGAATATGGGGAGAGAGTGAGATAATAAACAGATGGAGATTGAGATTACTTTTATCTATGAAAAATAGATAGATAGATAGATAGATAAACAATTAAGATAGATAGATAGATAGATAGATAGATAGATAGATAGATAGATAGATAGATAAACAATTAAGATAGATAGATAGATAGATAGATAGATAGATAGATAGATAGATAGATAGATAGATAGATAGATAGATAAACAATTAAGATAGATAGATAGATAGATAGATAGATAGATAGATAGATAGATAGATATGGCCAAACCGAGATAGATACATAGATATGAACAAACTGATATAGATATGAAAAGAGTTAGATAGATAGAATCAGACAGGTCATCGTCGATGTGCATTTGCTTCTCTGGGAACGATCGTCGTGTTTAGGTGCATTTGTGAGTAAATACACGCAAATGCATTCATAATATCCCTCCTATTAATATTGCGCGCTTTTTTCTCCTACAAATAATCTCGCATAAAAAAAAGGCTTCGTTTTTTAACGTGTTAGAAACTTGTTAATATTTGTCCAAAGATAATGTATTTATGCAGAGCCTCAATATATTATTATTTCTAAAATGTTTCGTGTACTGAAAACTTCTATACATACACGATAAAATTCCACAGATACATTGAGACACACACGCACGCATACATGCACACGTATAAGTTCGTTGTACACACAGCCACACATATTTTTAATCATATATTATATGAATCACATATTATAAGTTGCACTTAGTCCGAACATATACGTGCAAATATCTAATATATATATATATATATATATATATATATATATATATATATATATATATATATATATATATATATATATGTGTGTGTGTGTGGGTGCTAGATTAGTTGAGCTCATTAGAGTCTAAAAATTGCGTGCTGAAAATCTCTGCTTATTCGCCCAAAGAATCCAGAGGGTACATTTAATCTGAAAGAAAAAAAAAAAAAGAAAAAAAAAAAAAGAAAAAAAAAAAAAAAAAAAAGAAAGGGAAAATATCAGGCGAGGCGGATATAAAAGAAAGTGTGTGAGAGGTCTGCGAGCAAACTAGCAGTTAGGTAGAATGACAATCAGTCGCAGAAAGCTGAAAATTATAGACAAATAGGCCGTCTCTATGGACCTAAATCGACGTTCGAAACGCAATGATAGAATTATTGATTTCACTGATAGATCTGTCGATATAAATACACATAGACTGATGGATCTATCGTTTAAATAGAAATTACATTGAATAACAATTGGATATTGCTGATTGATAAAATTTAATGAACCATGGCCAAATGAAAACTACTAATAGAACAAAAAGTTCGATCTTAGAAAGATAAACAATTGATTTTGGCTGATAATAATGTTAAATATGCTTTACAAAAGAAATTCTGATCATACAAAAAGTTACCAATATATGGTAATATAATTTAATTGGCCTTTCTTGGGATTATAAGTTTTTTTCTTTTCCTTTTTTTTGGGGGTGTCAAACAGATAACATTAAGAAACAAAACAAAAATAAATAAGATAGATTGATCAGCAGAGAAATCATATAAAAGTAAGAAAAAAAAAATGAAACAATGAAAGAGACAGACTTTAAATAAATAGATTAAAAAAAGAAAGAAAAAATACAAAAAAAAAAAAAAGAGAAAAAAGAAGGAACGAATGATTTTTAAAAAGGACAACAATCTTCCACGTTCCCTGACCGACATGGATGATAATAACCCCGTGTCCGTAGCAAAAGTCATGGTCTTGATCAACAGCACTGAAGTGTACCATCTGATGTCGCAAACCTTCCACAACAGACCTGTAACGATGCGTGGACATCAGGAAAACTCTGTATCGAGCGAGGTCGGGCTGACCGTAGCCCTAATCTTGAGCATGTTTTCATCAGCGGCATTCCTTTTAAACGGAGCAATCGTCAGCTTCTTCATCGTTCGTAAGGACCTTATAACGCCGACCAACGTGTTTATCATGACACTGTCTGTGTGCGACTTTCTGATCGCCACCCTCGGCAACCCGCTCGCCATTGTGTCCAGTGCGATGCGTCGATGGTATTTTGGACGAAATATATGCGTGTGGTACGGTTTCACAATGACGTTTCTGGGGTTGACCACCATATCTTTACTTACAGCGATATCTATTGACCGCTATGTTCTTATAGTACATACAATGCGAACAGTGACAATCAGTATGCGAACTTCGATTGTTAGCGTTATTTGCTGTGGTATTTGGGGGCTTTTCTGGGCAGTGATGCCATTACTAGGCTGGAACGGCTACGTCACCGAGATTAATGGCCTTGCATGCAGCGTGGACTGGCAGGGTAAAACCCCGGCAGCAACCAGCTACATTATCATGTTATTAATATGCTGTTTACTAATACCCATGTTGATACTGGGATACTCCTACATAAGGATCTTTATGACGGTGAGTGTTTTTTTTTTTTTTTAATATTTCAAACTCTGTTTCCCAAAAGGAAAAGAAAACTGGTTATAATATTGTTTACACTTTTACACAAATGAAATCACGTGGCCGGTAAACGCAGAAATCTATGCATGCGCACCCATACAGACACACACACATACTTACCCACCCCAACATACATCATGCATTACCCCACCACGAAAAATTGTGGAGAAAACTTGGATTTTCCTTGAGATTGTATCACCAATCCCTTCAGGCCTTTCCGAAGCAGGTACACGTGAAACCAATTCACCTATTTTTTCCCAATCAGCATAAAAACGATTGACAAAAAAAAAAAATATATATATATATCCTTTTACCCGTATGCGTTAATAAAGAAGAACATGATCGAATTACCGCTGAGGAAAACCACTCTGACATAATTACTTTACCTGTTTATACAGAAGCAATAAAAGTGAGCTACACCCTTTGTCAACCTTGACAGAGACTAAGCATATAGATGAACATAAATATTCAAAATCACTGAGATGAAGACACATTACATATAACTCTTTCTTCATACATATTTTAATATTAATATGTCTATCCCAGTTCTTTCTTTCTTTCTTTCTTTCTTTCTTTCTTTCTTTCTTTCTTTCTTTCTCTCTCTCTCTCTCTCTCCCTCCCACTTCCCCTCTCTCTCTCTCCGTTCGAAACGCCATTTTTTACCTCGTGTCAAACAGCTATCGTAGACACAGCATCGAGTGTATTGTGCACGGGTGTCAGCATACCCAACTTTGATTCATAAAGAATATTGAATATTTTGTGTTAATTTTGCATATCGGCAGTGACAGTAAGATCAATTTTATCGACGACTCTTAAAATGTGTCATTCCTTGTGATTGTCAATTTGGAAAGTCAGCCTATCAGTTTTTTTTTTCTATTTCTCCATCTAGATGTTCAATTCTAACAAAGTCCTCCATTCATCTTTGCATATACAAATATAAACATATTTTATTGACCTCTTTAATTGGCGTCATCATATTTATTTAGCTTTGTTTTTGTGAGGCTGATTTCTTTTAGTATGAAAAGGAGAGAAAAATAGTGCAGATTAATTAACTATATTCATAAATATGTACACATGCACACACAGAGGTGTGTGCTTGTGTTGCGTATGTGTATGTATGTGTGTTTTATTACAAATGAGAGACAAGCTACTTCTGTTAGGATTATTATTGCATTTTTTCCCCCCTTTTGGGATCGAGTGTCTCTATAGAATGTTTTCAAATGATTGAAAATCCGAGCGCTTTTGCTTACTCAGTTAGAAATTTCCAAGGGTTTGGTTGTGTATTTGTAAACGATGTGTACGTTGCTAAGAAGTAGATATTTTTTTTTAATTTCCAAGTATGCATAGATCTCTATCGCATGTTGTTCAAATTTGTCTTTCTTTCTTTCTTTGTTTTTTGTTATTGGGGCTATGTTCAAAACTGTGTCATTGCTGGCCAAATACAAAACTATATATATATATATATATATATATATATATATATATATATAGGCACACACACATATATATGTGTGTGTGTGCTTATGTGTGTTTATATATATATATATTATATTTATTATTACTACCAGTTTTTGACTAGTAGAGATAATTCCAATGAGGATATTAATCCAGAGAGAGTTCAATGTAAACTATAGAGCATTATAATAATATTAAATCAAGAAAAAAAAATCTTAAAGATTAATTTCGGTTAGAAATAAATTATAACCGAAATGGATCTTTAAGGTTTTCTTCTTGACTTATCATATATATATATATATATATATATATATATATATATATATATATATATATATATATATATATATATATTATCCTTCATCGATAGGACGACTCGAAGTTTTATACACAGCGTAAACTTCAGGTGCTGAGTATGGACTGACAGTCACGGAATCTAAATTTTAATAAAAATATCTGGTTCTCGCAATTTTGATGTGGTCATATATTATAATGGGATTACAGTTTTTTTTTGTTTGGCTTTTTTTTTTTAATATATTGGCATTTAAAGTAAGCGGGATCTGTACATATATGTAAAAATATTTATTGAGTTGTGAATATTAATCTTTTATATTAAGTATAAAGGGAGATTACTTGTGTTTTTTTTTAAACATAATTTACATTAAAAAATAATCTGGATCAAAGTATTTAAGCAGATAATTATTTTTAGGCCTACATGTAACCATCAATTGATTTCTCTTGTTTAATAAGCTAGAGTTATTTAAGATAACTAATTTCTCAAGAAGATATAAATTACATCTATTTTTCTTTTCCCGTTGTAAGTTTTGGCTTTTGCTACATTATCCCAGGTGATAAATGTATCAGCGGAAATATTTAGAGGGAGCAGTGCTGTTTCAGTATTTTATATTGCCTAAATTGATTCGATTACACACACACACACACACACATATATATATATATATATATATATATATATATATATATATTTCAAAACTGATTAATAATTTCAGGATCTCTTCTTGGTTTCGCTTGAATTTTTAGCACTCGATTCTTATAGACATAAATATTATACTGTAATACACACACACAGTAACACACACACACACACACACATACATATATATATATATATATATATATATATATATAATAGGAAAGAACAATGAGATTTTTAATTCATAGTTTATTTTTTAATTTTAAAAACAGTGCTCGATACAACTGTAGAGCTTAAAAATTATAATTGTTTTTTTTTTTTAAATATATTACCATCGCAACACCGAAATTGCCATGTTTCAAAACTGAAATTTCAATTCAAATTCAAGTATAAAAATTAAACTTAAAATACAAAGTTGCGTTCTATTATCAAGCGATGCTAAGAATATATATATATATATATATATATATATATATATATATATATATATATATATATGCGTGTGTGTGTGTGTCTGTATGGGTGTGTTTCAGTGTGTATGTGTGAGAGAGAGTATGTGTGAGAGAGAGAATGTGTTTGTGTGTGTGTCAATGTGCATGTGAAAGAAAGAGAGAGAGAGAGAGAGAGAGAGAGAGTGTTTGTGCCAGTGTATGTGTTGACTACAATATTTATAGTGAAAGAGTGTTTAGTATAGGCTGTAGAACGTTTGTATATATAAATATAGTGGATAAAAAAATCATCTGCATAGTGATCGACAGATCCCCGACCTCACGGTTTGGTTGCTTAAGGAGTGGAAATCAAAATCACCATAGAGAATATCTATCTATCTATCTATCTATCTATCTATCTATATATATATATATATATATATATATATATATATATATACATAGCATGAAAAATGTATGTGCATAACATGAAAATTCCATGCTATATTAAATGCCACAAATTCTGGAAAGTTATGCACCCATCTCTTCTCCTCCAGCTATATACAGTGTAACCCGGATATAAGAGACCAGGATATAAGAGAAACCCGGATATAAGAGAGATAGTCTCTCGTCCCAAATTAGAGCCTGTGTTAATGTATATAAAATAGACCAAACCCGGATATAAGAGACTTCTTCTCCGGTCCTGACAACTCTCTTATATCCGGGTTACACTGTATATATATATATATATATATATATATATATATATATATTACTGAAGAAATGTAACATCATCACAGGCATTACAACTTAGGAGGGCTGGTCATGTTGTGAGAATGGATGAGCATAGGATTCCAAAAGAGGTGCTGTATGGACAACTACCAAACTCCAAGCGTTCAGTTGGGCGTCCACTCTTATGCTACAAAGACAAGTTGAAAGACAACTTGAAATGTTTCAACATTGATCTGAAAACCTGGGAAGCCCAGGCATCAAACCGAAAGGAGTGGCATAAGACATGTTTTATTAAGTTAAAGGGTTTTGAAGACAGAACCGTGTTCAGCTTCGTCAAACTCTGAAGTAGAGACGCCATCAAAATCCTGCTTTATAAAAATTTCATCTATCCGTGTGGCTTTGTCGCCAGCAGCAAGGCTGGGCTAGTATGACGCTGAAGAAAGTACGAATGAGATATGTCTTTCCCTTACCTGATTTTCTCCACAATAGCCGCTGATAGCAAGCATAAGTGTAAAATGAAAGACAACCTTCGTAATGCCAGGTGAGGTAAGCTTGTGTGTGCGGATGATCTAATTGATCATTGGAGAGCCAATTTCCAATTCAAGTTGGGTTCGTTATATTCATTTACGCGTAAATACCCTTGAAAAAGATAAGATTCACACTTCCCCCACCTATGGGTTAATTAATAAGATTTCTAATACTAAATCATCGTTATCTCTACCAAAATTCTTACAATCTAAAAATATGTTCCGGCTTTAAATAAACTGCAACTGTGTGATAAGCCCTAAAAAACGAATCAATCAATCATTTAATTTACGCGCAAATACTCTTGGGAAATGTATGACTCCATCAACTCTCTTCCAGGGTTGGGGTTAAATAGTAGACCTCATAAAATTGTTCATGCAATATTCACTCGATAAAAATGGAAAAAAAATTATTCTTACAATCCCAAAATAAGTTTCGGCTTTAAATACCTCACAAAGGGTTGATAATCTGTAAAAAAAACAATCAGCCAGGTGCAGTTAGAATATCCCTACTGACTAAGCCTGTACCTAGCTTCACCACAACCTCGGTGCAGATGGAAGATCCTCACTGACTAACACTCTACCTGCCTTCGCTGCAACCTAGGTGCAGCTGGAAGATGCTCACTGACTAACACTCTACCTGGCTTCGTTGCAACCCAGGTGCAGCTGGAAGATCCTCACTGACTAACACTCTACCTGGCTTCGCTGCAACCCAAGTGCAGCTGGAAGATGCTCACTGACTAACACTCTACCTGGCTTCGCTGCAACCTAGGAGCAGCTGGAAGATACTCACTGACTAACACTCTACCTGGCTTCGCTGCAACCCAAGTGCAGCTGGAAGATCCTCACTGACTAACACTCTACCTGGCTTCGCTGCAACCCAAGTGCAGCTGGAAGATGCTCACTGACTAACACTCTACCTGGCTTCGCTGCAACCTAGGATCAGCTGGAAGATCCTCACTGACTAACACTCTACCTGGCTTCGCTGCAACCCAGGTGCAGCTGGAAGATGCTCACTGACTAACACTCTACCTGGCTTCGCTGCAACCTAGGTGCAGCTGGAAGATGCTCACTGACTAACACTCTACCTGGCTTCGCTGCAACCCAAGTGCAGCTGGAAGATCCTCACTGACTAACACTCTATCTGGCTTCGCTGCAACCCAGGTGCAGCTGGAAGATGCTCACTGATTAACACTCTACCTGGCTTCGCTGCAACCCAGGTGCAGCTGGAAGATCCTCACTGACTAACACTCTAGCTGGCTTCGCTGCAACCTAGGTGCAGCTGGAAGATGCTCACTGGCTAACACTCTACCTGGCTTCGCTGCAACCTAGGTGCAGCTGGAAGATGCTCACTGACTAACACTCTACCTGGCTTCGCTGCAACCCAAGTGCAGCTGGAAGATCCTCACTGACTAACATTCTACCTGTCTTCGCTGCAACCTAGGTGCAGCTGGAAGATCCTCACTGACTATCACTCTACCTGGCTTCGCTGCAACCCAGGTGCAGCTGGAAGATCCTCACTGACTAACACTCTACCTGGCTTCGCTGCAACCCAGGTGCAGCTGGAAGATGCTCACTGGCTAACACTCTACCTGGCTTCGCTGCAACCCAAGTGCAGCTGGAAGATCCTCACTGACTAACACTCTACCTGGCTTCGCTGCAACCCTGATGCAGCTGGAAGATCCTCACTGACTAACACTCTACCTGGCTTCGCAGCAACCCAGGTGCAGCTGGAAGATCCTCACTGGCTAACACTCTACCTGGCTTCGCAGCAACCCAAGTGCAGCTGGAAGATCCTCACTGACTAACACTCTACCTGGCTTCGCTGCAACCCAGGTGCAGCTGGAAGATGCTCACTGACTAACACTTACCTGGCTTCGCTGCAAACCTAGGTGCAGCTGGAAGATGCTCACCGACCAACACTTACCTGGCTTCGCTGCAACCCAAGTGCAGCTGGAAGATCCTCACTGACTAACACTCTATCTGGCTTCGCTGCAACCCAGGTGCAGCTGGAAGATGCTCACTGATTAACACTCTACCTGGCTTCGCTGCAACCCAGGTGCAGCTGGAAGATCCTCACTGACTAACACTCTAGCTGGCTTCGCTGCAACCTAGGTGCAGCTGGAAGATGCTCACTGGCTAACACTCTACCTGGCTTCGCTGCAACCTAGGTGCAGCTGGAAGATGCTCACTGACTAACACTCTACCTGGCTTCGCTGCAACCCAAGTGCAGCTGGAAGATCCTCACTGACTAACATTCTACCTGTCTTCGCTGCAACCTAGGTGCAGCTGGAAGATCCTCACTGACTATCACTCTACCTGGCTTCGCTGCAACCCAGGTGCAGCTGGAAGATCCTCACTGGCTAACACTCTACCTGGCTTCGCTGCAACCCAGGTGCAGCTGGAAGATCCCCACAGACTAACCCTCTACCTGGCTGGAGTATATCTTCTGATTAGTCATTTACATGTCTTCGCTGCAAAACAGGTGCAGTTGGCGGATAATCTCTAATTAACCCTATATATAAGATGCGCTAGGTATTTGAGAACACCCCAACAAATACATGTAACGAATATAAAGCGCAACCGAAATACGTCTCCCACATACCTCCCAGAAATACCCCCACATAATGGTAAGACATTATTGGCAATAGTGTCTTCATATACCTTATGTCTTACCATTATCTGGGAGCTATTTCTGGGAGGTATATGTGGAAGGTATTTCTGTCGCACCCTGTAGAAGACCATCGAACCTTTAATGATACGCGACTGTCGAGAAAGTGTAAAATCAACATTTCTCTTTTGAAAGTATTGCAGCTTCGTATCCGACATAGGAATTGAAATGTTACCCTCCACTTGTGGTACTAGTTTCTTGAAAATTCACAGGTTTTCGTGTTTAATGTTACGAATGAATTGAGGGCCTCTAGTAAAAACGTGGTTTACGGCCATATCACGTTGAAACACCGGTTCAGTCACTGAGGTTAGACAACGTCAAGCCTGAATTTATGTTACAACTTTACAATTGGATATTCGCTATTATTGTACGATTAATCCATATCCCTCCTCTGATTAAACTCTTTCTTCACTAATCTTTTGTTTCAGTGTTTTCCTTACAGTATTATTAAGCAGAACTACCAACTTATACGAGCATTATAACAATATATATATAGAGAGAGATATAGATATCGACAAGAAGGCGGGGGTAAAAAGAAAGATCTAGGCCGATTACCTTATAAAAATCTGACCAAATTGCATTAAGGTTTTACTGTTAGAATCATCTTTCGAAACTTTAATCATTTAAATATATTACAATGACGTATTGCCAAATTTCAAAGAAAATCTGCTATAGATTGAATGCAGCAGCCACGAAATGCACAAACTCAGCCAAATCAAGTCTCACTGCTGATTGAATTTCTACTCACGCATGCGCAGTAAAGTCCACTCTGCCTGGTTTAGTATTTCCCTGGGGGCAACGCAAACAGTACGTTCCGGACACACTGCGTACTAATGGGAAAATAAATAATAATGATAATAACAATAATAATAATAAAAACAGAAAAGCAAAATATTATTTATAAGTTGCATGTTCTGCCTCTCTCAATCAATCTAGCTAACAAGCCACCTTTCTAATCATTTCGCTAGAGTTGTTGCCAAGCTACTTCCGGGCGATGCAAGTGGTTACCTTCCGGTGAAGACCTTGTATTAATGAGAATATAAAAAAAAATGGAAAACAAAAATGTGAATGTCTTTATAACTCGCATGCTCCCTATCAATCACTCTAACTATCAAGCCACTTTCTAATCATCAGTCTGTACATATCAATCTAAGTCTGTTCATATCTATCTATCTATCTATCTATCTATCTATCTATCTATCTATCTATCTATCAGTATATTAATCTCTCTCTCTCTCTCTCTCTATCTATCTATCTATCTATTTATCTGTCTGTCTTGGGTTTCAATAAAAATTCATCTATCTATCTATCTATCTATCTATCTATCTATCTATCTATCAGTTTATTCATCTCTCTCTCTCTCTCAGTCTGTATGGGTTTCAATGAAAATCTATCTATCTATCTATCTATCTATCTATCTATCTATCTATCTATCAGTTTATTTATCTCTTTCTTTCTCTCTCTCTCTCTCTGTCTCTCTCTCTCTGTCTGTCTTGGGTTTCAATGAAAATTCATCTATCTATCTATCTATCTATCTATCTATCTATCAATCTATCTATCTATCTATCTGTCTAACTGGCTGTTTATTCACATCTATCTCAGTCTATGCACACCTATCTTGGGTTTCAATGAAAATCTATCTATCTATCTATCTATCTATCTATCTATCTATCTATCTATCTATCTATCTATCTATCTATCTATTCACATCTATCTCAGTTTATGCATATCTATATTGGGTTTCAATGAAAATCAAATTTTCGACTAAATTGCAAACACACTTCTCCGGTATTTATCTCTTTTGTCTTTTTTGAGTTCCCTGTTGCATATGAATACAATTGGATTCATTCTTTGAACAGATAAAGCACAATACACCCATGTATATATGTGTGCATACATAAATAAGTAAAAATAGATTGATAGTGACAAAAAAAAAAATACGTATATGAGTAGAGATTAATATAATTAGGCCAGTAATGCAGAAAATTTTCGAATTTTTTATCTTCCATCTGAAAAATTATGTGATCTAAAAAATTATCTGGTATGTGACAGCATTTAATAAACATTTACAAAAAAAGAAAAGAAAATATAGTAAAATATTCTCTTGTTAAGACATCACCTAATGTATAATCACTATAGTTACATAATTACTGCTTAATATGTGTTTTTCGCAGTGCGTATGCATTTAAGTGTTGACACCGTCAATTAATTCGCTATTTATTATTTCGGGAGAATCTTAAATTTCCCGCTTACAACTCAATGAAACTACGCTATGTATTCTTGGGGAAAATTTTCTTTTTTCTTTTTTTTTACACAAACAAAGCCAAAACTAACCCTATCAAAAATGTTCGGCATTCAAAATACATATATAAGGTTAACACTTGAAAGGAATGCACCCCGATAAAAGCAAATGATTGATTCCAACAAGTAATGCACCCAGCTAAAACAGCTGGAAGCAACAGTTAACGAATCTGGGAAGAAAAAATGTTTCGTTTGTTGATCAGGCAAAATTGTTCAACATAGCTGATAGGTTTTCTTATATCCGCCATATTCTCTCGAGATTGCATCAATCGATTACAATTTAATTTGGTCTTTACAAAAAAAAAAATCTCTTAATAAAGGAAATAAAAAAATTCCTTCGAAAACTGTAAAAGTCACCTTGAGCTTTTCATTGTCGAGAAAGATAAAACCCACCGGAACGGTCTAAGACTGAAGGTCAATAAAAATAGTGAAAGAGAACGATAAATAGTTTGTTCAATAAGATTCATGTTGAAAACACTAAAATATATTTTATATCATATAATCAATAAACGAGACGCACTATTTTGCCACAAAGGATATATATATATATATATATATATATTGCGTTTTATTTTGGCAGCATGTTTTCATTGAGACATGTTTCATCGGATAATTTAAACAAGTTTTGTCTTCTTATTTTCAATTGGATCCTTTCATATTCACAGACAAGCTTTTTGGTGTTATTATTAAAGGAAGAGAGAAAATTACCGTGTTGATACATATTATTTTATTTCGGGTACTTTCGACATTAACACTATTTCATTATCAGGGTGTTGTTTATTTCAAGTCAAATATTGTAGTGTTCATCATTTTCAAAGACAAAATCGCTGTGTTCATCTGAAGGTTAATTTTTTTTGCAAGTAAAAACCGTTGACGTCATGTGTTGTCCGATTTAGCTTGGTGTAAACTCTTGTTTCAAAAACCTAAAAATAAGACAGAAATTGACAGAAAATTTACCAGTAAAAAATTCGTATATCACCATATTTGTACATGAACGCACAACTGTAAAAAATTTAAAATCAAACTCAGCGTTGCTACTGCGCGCTCCAAAAACAATAACTCATTTCCAATAGCATTTTCGGATACAACAATACATATATTTTCGTTGTCCTCTTATTACTAAGAGAAAAAACAAGAACAACATCTATTCCATACCTGAAGATATCTGTAGGAACAGACGAAAGCTTTGTAGTAAAAATAAGAACTAATACGGCAGAAATTTATAGAAACAAGGATCTTTTCATTCATAACGGATTTGGAGGTTTTTGTATATTATTTGAATTGTTTGCGACGATGGATTTCTCGCCAATTAAATCATTAACCTTTGCATTTGTTTTTGTGTGAATAATTCATGAATATATATATATATATATATATATATATATATATATATATATATATATATTATATATGTGCGGTACTTATTGGAAAGCGTTCAATATCACTGATAAAGTTAACATACATAACATTGTATTGATGTGAGTTTCCCTGAGTTTCACGCCGTTGTGATCATTAGACAAACACTTGTTTTGTTTGACGATCGCAAGAGCGTGAAACATAGGGTCAAAAGTCCTATCAATACAACTAAGTATATATATATATATATATATATATATATTATATATATATATATATATACTTATTTAAGAATATAGTTCCATATGGTTAACAAAAGTTCACCGAATTATGCAACGGGAAATCAATTATTTTACAAAATGTCAAAAAGTCATAACCCTTATATATATATATATATATATATATATATATATATATAACATTAGAATAATAAATTTAATCAACGTACAGATATATAGGCTGAGAGATAGATATATAGTTAATGTAAGCGATCTTCCATTTTGATGTTGCAGATGAGATGTACGATTGGAGCTTATAATTTGAACGGTATTTTTTTCGGTATTAAAAATCATTTGTTTCGCGAATTCACGTAAGGCGGACAGCTACTCGAAGATCTGGCTTTTTGTTTGATCGTCTTCAAAAGCAAATCTGCGACATTTGATATTTTTATCCGCTTCAAACAAGATATGAACGCGTACGAAGCTCAAAGTCTGTCAATTGAGACCTAGTTTCCCAAATAAGCGAGCCTGCCTTTAGATGATGGCGAGTCTGTTATGCACTGCATCCTCTCGTAAGGAGAGATGGGGAAAAAATTTGCTTGGTATATATTTTGCTGGTATTTGCTGGTAATTTTATGATATCTTGCTGACCTAAACGTTCACTGATCAAAAACATGATCTATATTTTAATTTATTTATTGTGTATCTTATTGTATATTTTATTTTTGGTTTTATTTTTTACCAAAAAGTTTACTGGATAAGAGCGGTCTTGTTTTGCCGTTATGGATGGAAGCGGATGCAGAAAACAAGGATGGAAATGGGAGAATGTTTGATCTGGGGGGGGACACTTGGTTAGAAGATGAAATCCTCTGCTCTTAGGATTTTTTGGAGATGGACTTTTGAACTTACGTTGTTTATTTACTATCCGCCATCTTTTTCGCTTAGATAGGAGTTAGCGAAACATACGAAGTTAAAGTTTTATGTGCTCCCAGTCTGTTGCTTAGCATTATGCAGTGGTGGATGTGCGGATGGCGTAATGGATAACGGCTTGAAAATTAAAATCGTAGAACCGCGTTCCAACTCCAGTCGGGTTCGTTATATTTCCTTACGCGCAAACACACTTTGGAAAGGTATGAATCCCCCAGCTATGGGTTAATTAGTAAAATTTGTATCGCTAAAATAACCATTTTCCCCCGCAAGAAATCTTACTATCTAAAAATATTTTCTGGCTTTAAATAACCTGCAAAGAGTTGATAAACCGTAAAAAGCGTATTAATCAATGAATCAACCAAAAACGAGGTCACTAATCTACGCGTAGCACTTGTCCATGGTACATATTTATCTTCATTCTCTATTGTCTACGGGATGAGGGAACTGTAATGTTCAACAAAGGCTCCTTGCATTCCTCATGACTGGTTTTGTATTCCTTCAATCAAAAGGTTTAACCGTTTTTCTGTACTGAACACTACATAGTTTGCTGATTTCTACATATTTTGCTGAATCTTTCATATTTTTTGCTGATTTCTATTAATTTTGCAAAATCTTACCTATTTTGCTGATTTCTACCTATTTTGCTGAATTCTACCTATTTTTGCTGAATCTTACATTTTTGCTGATTTATCTATTTTGCTGATTTCTATTTATTTTGATAAATCTTACCTATTTTGCTGATTTCTACCTATTTTGTTGAATTCTCCCAAGAAGTTCAGTCAGATTAATATTTTTTCAGATTAGTATTTTTTTTCAATTTTCGAATAAGATTTACTAAATCCAAATTATGGATAATTTGGCCAAAGTTCATGTTTTTTCGTTTTTTATTTCAAGTATTTTCGAACGATCAATCATTATCAAGAAATGGGTGTTGTCATTTTAATAGACGAGAACTGATTTTGTTGGCTACACCCTGGTTTTTTACAATGTTGGAGTTTGAATTAATTCAAAGTGGTTTCATGCGTAAAGGTTCCAGCTATTTTCCATTTGATGAAATTAGTTCTGAAACATCTGGCTGCAATATGAGATTCAATTATTTTCTTTCAAATGTCCTCTTCGCAACCACGTTCATTAATGTTCATCTGCTTCTACCTTGTAAATTTTCTGTAGAGTGTTTCTTTATTCCAAGTTAGGAAATAAACAAACAGAAGAGAAAGGAAAGGAAAATAATAACAATTAACGCACAAATCACCGGACTGATAACAAATATGGCGCCAGTTTGTTTACATTGCGCAGATCAGTACGAAATTTTCAGTGATTGCGCAGATTAGTGTTGCCAACATTGTGTGAATTGATTGGACGGTTTTGTAATATTAGAAAAAGTTATCTCGATAATAATTTGGCACGTAGTATATATATATATATATATATATATATATATATATATATATATATATATATATATATATATATATATATATATATGATTTATCAAAAATCATTACTTAGCCGGAAGAATATATTTCGAAGGACGAAACGCGTCACATAGGTTATTTTTTAGATTTTGTAATTTTGTTATTCAATTACCTACCATTAGTTTAATATATGGTGTTATATATATATATATATATATATATATATATATATACGACATATATGACATATATATATAATCTATAATATATATATATATATATATATATATATATAATCAATGTTGTATATATATATATATGTATATATATAACCTATATATAATCAATAAGACATTAAAAAAAACACATTTTGATTTGCATTATATTTTTTTATGTCGGATGCTACCTGAATTTTACCAAAAAGAAAATAGGTTCCATGCCTGATGATGACCGGGAAACCTTTTTAAGACGTAATACAGTTTATAATTTTAAAAAACAGGGATCATAACATTCATCGAGTGCTTAGTGGGTTAATACATCTTTAAAATTTAGTAAGCGAACGGATTTCGCCATTTTATATCATTAACTTCACTAATTTACTTTTTGTAGGAATGCTTCATTGTAATATAAATTCAACTGCACCACATATTTGAGTTAAAAGAACTGATCCGACGTGCAAATTTTCGGGTAACATCTGAGACATTACTCTATTTATTGAACTATTTAGTTCATATCACGTTGACTGATAAACTCCTACAAAAAAAAAAAAAAGAAAAAAAAAAAGAAATCTTAAATTGTTATATTTTCAAAAATTCAACCTCAGCGTTGTGACTGCAAGCTCCACAAGTTTGTATCTGTTATCAATAACACATTTCAAAAAACATATTTCGATTTGTCTTGAATGCTACCTGAATTTTATCAAAAACAACACACACACACACACACACACACACACACACGCACACACATGTATATATATATATATATATATATATATATATATATATATATATATATATTAAAATTAATTGATTTAAAATATGGTTTTTTTCGCTACACAGTTCCAACCATGTTTCAAAAATAGAAGCTAAAAACCCCGAATTTAATTTTGCAATTAAATTAAAAGCATTAGTTCCATTTCATCTTCAAGCGAATTCGCTTATAATATTAATGCTCTGTAAATTTACATTGAGCACTATTTTGTAAAAATAAAAATATCTATAAGAACACCGGATTTTATATCTTACTGTTCTTTCTTTTTATATATATATATATATATAGTTTAATGGGAAGAGTTGACTCAGACTAGGAAACGTTAGTGTTAAAAAGTGTTCAATACACGCGTGAAAAAATAAAATAAATATAGCATGTAGATCTTTAAACTTTAAAAATGAAGAGGTCAGTTGAACTCGCTACCTTGGTTTCAACTTTATGGTACCCTCAAGCGATTCTTATCAATTTTCGCCCCAAAGCTTTATTTTTTTTAAACTAATGCACGTTATATTATTTTAAAAAATAAACAAACAAACGCACGACGGTGGCTCTGATAGAAAGGAAGGGGGAGGATGTAAAGAAGAAGAAGAAGAAGAAGAAGAAGAAGAAGAAAAGCCAGGGTACTACAAATGTATCAGCGGGGGGTTTAATTGAAACGACATTTTTTTTTTATCCAATTTCATATATGCTTTAGAGGAATGTTTTAGTATGTATGCAAGGACTCATGACTTCGGATTTCTGGTTCAAAAGTTACTTTGGATCCGGAAATATAATTATTGCTAATTTTTCCTTTTGGCAGAGGTTGAAAATATTATTGTAGCTGTTGCAAGGCTTCGCATTTTAAAAAAACTTTGCAACAACCACAATAATAATATAAGGTACATTACAATTAACCGCCCCCACCGATACATTTATAATACAGATGCTTTTCTTCTTCTTCTTCTTCTTCTTTTTCTTCTTCTTCTTCTTCTAGCCTATAGCTGGCTGCCACGAATAGGCAGGAAGATTCTATTGGCCAGCGTGAGAGCCAACAGCTGACTGACACGAATGTTAACTAACATGCTAGCATGCAAAAAAAAATCGATAGCTGCATTCGTCACAAGTGGGAAAAATTTAAATCTGCATGGCACTTTACTCCAATTGGCTCATTCGCTTGCTTAAACTCAACGTTGATTCTGATTCCGCAGAACTGGGTTGGGTGTGAAAAAGTATTTGTTGTTAACATTCTTTTTTCATTCAGTTTTTCCAGTTACGAGTCCTTTTTTTAAAGCTGATCGTTTTGTTTCGTTCTTTTTTCGTTACAGATTTAATGTTTAGTATAGAGCTTCGAAAAAATTCGCAGTGTGAGATAGGCAAGAAGTAAGGCATGTAGTAACATCAGCATGGCAAAGAGCACTCCTTTAAAGGCAAGGAAGGGCAAAAATATTTTAAGTCAAGTGATAGCGATTGCTGTATGAGTCGTACGATTTTTGAATCAAGTACGGGCAACACCGGGCCATGCTGGTACATATATATATATATATATATATATATATATATATATATATATATATATATATATATATATATATATATATATATATATATATATATATATATATATATATATATATATATATATATATATATATATATATATATATATATATATGATTTAAATGTAGATGAGAATTCTACGGAATTATAAATATGTTAGACAATTTGGAAAATAAATATGAAAATTTCAAAACTTTAATCTGTCTACCTAGTTATCTATCTCAGTCTGTTCATATCTATCTATCTATCTATCTATCAATCTATCTATCTATCTGTTTCACCCTGTTCATATCTATCTATCTATCTGTCTATTTATCTCACTCTGTTCATCTATCTATCTATCTATCTGTCTGTCTGTCTCGTTCTGTTCATATCTATCTATCTGTCTATCTATCTATCTATCTATCTATCTATCTGTCTATATATCTGTCTGTCTATCTTTCTCCCTCTCTGTTCATATCTATCTATCTATCTATCTATCTATCTATCTATCTATCTATCTATCTATCTGTCTGTCTGTCTCACTCTGTTCATATCTATCTATCTATCTATCTATCTATCTATCTATCTATCTATCTATCTATCTCACTCTGTTCATATCTATCTATCTATCTATCTATCTATTTTGATGACTGGCTGCTTGTATCGTTTATAAGTTTAGTAAAGAAACTATATATTTAAAAGTTTTTCTTTCTTCCTCTAGAAATGCAATTCTCCTCTTCGGTGCAGAAATAGAATGTTATCTTTAGAAAAGAATGCCGACTGCACAGTACCGGGTTAATCTAGTAACAAAAGTAGCAAATGCTTCCGTTCCTGCATTTTTTAGAGTAAAATATTTCCAAATTGTCTGGTGAAATTTCCATCTGACGATCAGGCAACATTTTTGTGTATATATCGATGGACTTGCATTATTAATAATCATTGTGCAAATTTTCTTGGGCCCAGCGCTCGTTGTTGTCAACAGAATTCTGAATAATGTAGTAGGTTAAATATGTCGTGGTTTCGTTTTACGCACATTTTCTTTTTTGCAATAATACGAGGCCCGAGAGCCAATCGAGATAGAGGGTTACAGAATAAGAGGTACAGTCTATGTGAGGAAGATAATGATTAAACATCGACTTGAATAGGTTGAGATTTTAGTGGCGAATCATCCTCTTTGGAGTCGTTCCAACAAAGTATCGGTTTGTGGAAAGAAGCTGTTCGAGTAGGACTTAATCTCATCAATAGAATACGAAAGGAATTGGAATGGTTCGCTAGAATGAGTCTGGCATAGCAGGTCATAGCAGTAAAGGTTAGAACTGGTGGAGTTAAGGCGTGTCTTTGGTCTGAACGCTTCCCAGGGAAATTGCAGTAGAGCAGTGGGAGGCTTTTGTCTGTGCGGAAGCGGTTGTAGGGTGGAAACTAATTAATCACCAACAAGGCTGTGTAGACAATTTTAGACCTTATCAAATCTGGAACGTGAAGACTGGACAGCTCCAAACCTGTCATGGCAGGAGTACTCCATTTTCCGTTCGATATGATTCTAGTAAACGTAGAGAATAGAAAGAGGAATCAGTTATTTATTGGAGTGCTCTAGGGAAGCGACCATTTTAACAGTACCCTTAGCGATGGATCATATGCAAGGGTTCTACTTGAGGTATGGGTTGAGCTTAAGTCCCTTTCCTTTTGTCTTTATTCACACACACACACACACACACACACACACACACACACACACACACACACACACACACACACACACATATATATATATATAAATGATTTAAATGTAGATGAGAATTCTACGGAATTACAAATATATAGGACAATTTGGAAAAGAATTATTCATAAAAATTTCAAAATTGTCTTATCTATCTATCTAGATATCTATCTCAGTCTGTTAACATCTATCTATCTATCTATCTATCTATCTATCTATCTATCTATCTGTCTCATTCTGTTCATATCTATCTATCTATTTATCTATCTCATTCTGTTAATATCTATCTATCTATCTATCTATCTATCTATCTATCTATCTATCTATCTCATTCTGTTCATATCTATCTATCTATCTATTTTGTTGACTGCTTGTATCGTCTATAAATTTAGTAAAGAAACTATATATTTGCTCAAGGCAAGGTGCGCCCCTGAGTAAACAGTCGTTCATCGCGATATGCGAAAATTCAGAGTCGGCTCGGTGAAGATGGAACGTCATTAGTTTACTTTTTGTGACATTGAATATGACCACCCTGTTTTTTTCGCATTGAGCTGTTAAAAATAGATCAGTGGAGAGATTCGATGCCAGGCTCTGGTTATCTAGAATTTTGGAAACGATGCCATATACCGTTGTATCAACAGCATAAATATTTACATAAGATCGGAAGGACACTCTTAGATCATTTATGCAAACTAAAAAAGTTGGACCGAGAAATTTGCCTTAGAAAACACTTGCATTTCACATAGACCTCAACAGACTGGCCGTTAACAACTACCTTTAGGAACTTACCCGTTTGGAACGACTTGATAATTGAAAAGACACTTCCAATGATTGGATAGCTGTAGAGCTTGTGTAACAACTCTCGGTCCCGCATCTTGTCAAAGGCTTTCCATATATCTAACACGATCGTCATTGTAATGTATCTATTGTCTAGTGATTCTGTGAGTAATGACAGGCGATCAACAGCGAACCAAACCAATAGAAATCCTTATTATTTGTCCTTATTTAGGTGATTAACAAAAATCTTGTTGATTATAGCCTTAACAACTTTTCTAATGACACAAAGGAGGCTGGAGTGCCGATACAGGGAGGAAGATGAGCGCTGACACGCATTCTTGAAAATAGGGCGTATACTTGAAACCTTCCACCGACCTGGAAATTATGTATCCTTCAAGCAGCGATTAAATAATTTTTATGGTGTCAACGAACACTCGTTGCCACTTTTGTAATGCCGACGAATACTCGTTGTCACTTTCGTCATGCTCGTTGTAGTAGAGACTTTGTAATCGCAGATACAACTATAGTAACGCCGTTGAACAACACTCCTCAGAGGCCTTTGAATACCAGTCGGACCAATAGCACTTGCTCGATAATACTCGCTCGAATAGTAATCAGTATAGTGATCTGAATAGAAAAATACTGTAGTGAATATAGTAGAGAATAGCGGTTCGTATGGTAACAGAGGATAGACTAGAATTGCAGATCGATCTAGACGTCACACGACTTCCTATATATGCATTTTCTCTATTTCTTTCATATGGTCTACTTAATTCAATAATGGGTTCGCCTGTGTTTGCTCACTGGCGATCTATGTTCAAACTCAAGTGTCAGCAGTGACACTCTATTCCTATATAGCAATAATTTTACTAAGATCAACGATAACTAAACTTTGATATTCTCAAGGACAACCACTGTGACTTTATCTGAACCAGTAGTCTTATTAGAGTCAATACTTTTGATAAGTTTTGAGACTTCCCGGGTTATAATAAAAATATTATTATTGTTGTGCTCCGTGAGAGGAGGGACGTCAGGTAGGAGATAGCCTTTTTTGTTTAACATCTTTAACATCTTTGCGAAAAGCTTTGCCCAATCTAATGAGAATGATATGGCCTTTGTGGACGCTTTGCCTCTGTTTAGGAGTTGGTTGGAGACTTTTTTTCAGAACTCCCAGAATCCAAGTTGTTTGCTTTCGAACTTGGCCTGGTATGCTTGTGCATAGCTACAATTTGCATTTTCATGAACAATCTAGCAACGACTGCAGGCAGTTCCGAATACAAGTGTCTCCAGACACAGTTCCCGTTGATAGATATTGTAGTAGAGGTTACGGCTGCTGCTGCTGCATATTCAACGAATCCTTCTGGGATATAAAACATTCCCTTCCAGAAAGGTTTCATTCAGAGATGAAGGCGGTAGTACTTTTGAAGACTGCCGAGAGAGGATCTTCTGTCATGTAGAGTCTGAAGCTGTCCTAGTCGGCTTACGAATACCGAAAAATCGTTCTATGTAACAGGAAGTGACTTTGGACAGGCATTGACTTTGAAACTGATGAGTGAATAGCCTGAAGTGCCCGGCGGGTTAACACTTTAGCGAAGCATTTTTCAGGTCAGAATGTGATGATGTGGTCTAGGAGGTTCACTTGATATTCTGTTGCCATCGGGAACACGGGTGGGCTCGTTAATGATCTACGTCAGTTCGTAGACGATGGAGACGTCTCGGCTATATCTGCCTTCTTTGTCGGTTTTGTTCGAATGGGCTAACCCCTCTTTGTGGTGAATATTAAAGTCACCACGAATACGAATGTTAACTGAGGGATACTCATAGAAGATATTATCAATCGTCTCAATTATTGTGTCGAACATTGCATTTCAGTCATCGTGCAGACGATAAAGATAAAAGTTGTACTGTGGACAAGTTCTACACGGAAGCACATATACGGAAGATCGGTGGAGGACCTCGATGCGGTGTAATGGCTATCAAGCTTGTCTTGCTAGAAAAATTGAGTAGTGAGTTCGATCCTCATTAGGTGCTCCATACTTTCGGCCTTGTGCCACATCTAAGCTACGCTTGGAAAATCACTATACAGAAATCAATGTCCTCGTTTTTGTCAAATCTAGGTACCAAAGAGGAAATCTCATCACAACAATTATCATGAAAATATTGATAAAAAAGTGTTATAGTGGAACACACCTATTCTATAGTTAATAGACTCTCCCACCTATAATAAATATGAGTAGTAATAGTAACGAGTCAGTCGCTGATTCGCTAAGTGCGTCAGTCAGTCGACTGGCTGATCGGTTGAACTCTCTGCCTTTAGGCGGGGAGGAACCCGAATGAGGCTACGCCGAAGGGTGGAGTCTCTTTCGGGGAGGTAAACCAACCCTGAACCCGTTTATACGGATTCAATGGGCATATTTTTGGCCGAGCCCACGGGCTCGGAGATCCCACGTTAAACCGGCCTTGTGCCACATGGTGCCCACGTGGGGAGGGGGTGACTAAATACTGTCGCTGAGTCGCTTAGTGAGTTTGTCAGTCAGTCGATGTCTGACGACTGTTAGTCGGATACTAAAGTATCAGCGACCACCAATAGATTACTCTGCGTTATTACCTATTATATGAAGTTCCTAACGTTTTGTACGTCGAACCTATTTTAGGACCGACTTAGTACAAATACAAGCCTCCACTGTGAAATCACTCCATAACAAAAGGACACAGGGAAGATACGTTACGGCGGTGGGAAAGTGACTGAAGCTGAGATGCCAGGTCAGGACCAGTAAAATTGCAGGTTCTTCTTTATACTTCATCAAAAATATTTAAATACATAACAGAATCACCAGATTAGATTTGGCAGCAATATTCAAAGCATGGACGAATGCTAGATTTATAGATATGTAAGATTCTGGCTAATTCTGGCTAGAAATATTGCTAAGCATGAGGCAGTGAACTAAATTTTCTAGCCGCTGACCTAGCAAGCTTTCAATTTTATGTCAACGGAAAATGTTAGCTCGAGAAGGGGTCAGGCTTCTGGTGGTGATCATCAGCCTAACTGAGGGAAGACAACAAAAAAAGTTCTCTGAGACGATTAAAAGAGACCAATTTTGTTTTGGAGACGCTAAAATTAACAAGCTATTTCTTGCCCCAGTTAACAACAGATTGTAGGTCATTTTTTTTTTAAAGATTAGCTGCTAATTTGACCTTACATTTAAATGAGAATAAAAATCACACCCCATACCAAGAATCACATAAAATCTTAATTCGTTTTACTAAGTAAAAAAAGAAAAACATTTTCGACATTATTGAATAAAGGCCATTTACGGATGTTCTGTTTACTACCACAAAAAGTAAATCAAGTTCAAATTTCAGTCTAGTCTTTTGTGTTCGCATTCGCACGAGTACTCTTGGGGGAAGACATGATTCCATAATATCTTTCCCCGCTAAAATAGCAGATTAGACCATGCTCTCTAAGTTCGAAAGCCATAGTGAAGGCCACGAGAAACCACTCCCTTATTTTCGCAAGAATCCATAACAAGAAGACAATTAATAAAGTAAAGGAACTTGTGGAGGGCCATTATCAACTAAGTTCTGCAGAAAAATGACATGTAAGAAAAAGATTACCGTTTTGTTTCACCATCTTTTAACATTTTCATAAATTCCGTAACCTCCGAATAATTTTATTTTCCCCGGCAAAGAACTTAATTAAGTGACTCCTGTAATATTCCAGAGAATTTAATTTATTTATTTTTTTTTTCATTAAAAGAATTCTGTTAAGACCGGAATAATTAGTTATCCAAAGGTGTAATATCTATTGAATCTAATGGACGGGTAAAAACCTCCCGGCCAAGTTGTAAGCATTTTTTTCCTGGTCCCCCAAAAACACGTCAAGTGTAAACCAGGTAGAATATTTGAGGAATAATAGACGTTTTTCACCGGTTGCTACTTTCAATTTCTTTAACTGCAGGAAGTCTCTATGGAAGAGTGGGATTCCCTCCCAGCGTATCATCGGGACCAGTCACGCTTCATATGCAACCTCCCTTCTCCAAAATTCAAACCCAAGTGATATGCGACAAGAAGTACTGTGAGTAGGTTGCTCGAAAATATGTCCAGTAGCTTCTTATCCACGGGGTATATGTTTTGATACTCTAAACGGATAGCTGAAACCGCGGATAGCTTCGAAACCTATATATACAATTTATTCTTATACATACCAACTAAAAATTTTAATTTATAGATTAGACACAATAAGAAATTAAAAATAATAAGTAATAATTAAATAATTCTAACAATATTTTCTCTATGTGCCGGGGTGGGGGCACAACACTGAATTTTTTCTCTTTGATTTAAATTAAATTTAAATTTGAACAAGGAAATGTCTCCTAAGGTACTTGGATAAGAATATTTCTTTTTGATTCAAGAAGGGTCCCCCGGGGAGAGAGGCACAATCCCCAACTGATTTTTCCCCTTTGATTTCAATTTGAACAAGGGAATGACTCCTATCCAAAATATAGAAGGAGAAAGCCAGAAGATGGAGGTCACATTGGCAAGATCATTGAGTAATACTGAAATGCATTAGTTTTTCTCCACAAGTTATAACAATCATTTAAAATCAATC